AATTAAAATTTTCCGGCAGGACACCTGCCTAGGAAAACTTTTGAACAACATAATGATCGGAATAAATTTTTAAAATCCCATTGTATAAAATTTTGACAATATCCTGATCAAAATTGATTAAAATAGAAATTTCAAATAATTTAATTAAAGTACAAGATAAAAATAAAAAATAAATTATTTTTACATTATATTTTTTTAAAGAAATTTAACTATAATGATCACAATTTAATTAGAATAATCTTAATTTTTATTGAATATAAAATTGAAAGCCAATCGTTAATATTTGTCTTATTGAAAACAATAATTGATGAGAAATTATTGATTCGTAAAATAAAAATCATTATCAAAAGATTAAAATCGGCAAGGACTAAAAAAACAAAACAATCGCAATGTATTTTCATCGCCTAAGTATTATTTGTTGTGAATACTGCTATGATTCCATTATTATTTCTTTTTTGCCAAATCATAATAATCAAACTTTAAATAGAAATTGATTCAAAATAAATGATGTATCAGCCGCTGAAAAATTAAAATAAAATATGGTCAAATTGATAAATCTAATTATTTCGGCGGTTGATTATATCATATTACTTAGTTAATATGGCGGCACTCCACTTAGTCTTATATAAAATTGTCTATAAAAAAAATTATTCCCAGGGAGGTTAAACCATATACACACATCCTGCCTTTTAAAACAAAATTCTGAACCTGAAATAAGTCATCAATCTCCCTCTCGTTCATTTAAGCTTCCGATACTATAATAAAGCATCGCTCAAGACATAAAATATTCAAATCCCTTCGTTTTTTTATAACGATTGTAAATTACGTCAAATCAAAAATAGACCCATAAATCAATAAAACCCAAGACGCGAGGACGATATCTAAATCAATGGCATGAGACCACGCTTAGAAGCGCAAATGTCAACTATTCAATAAAAAAATCCGCATCATCGCCAACTTTTCAAACTCTTTATTGGAAGTTCTAACCTAACAAGTGAATTTTGGGGTCGGAATTTGCTCGCATTAGACTTACCCGGCATCATTGCTTGAAGCACCATGCGAGGTTGCCGAGTGAACATAGAGCCGGTTGGGTTGAGTGGATGCAGGCACCGAAGCAAACCACCGATCAAAGACGGCGAACTCCGACACGAGCTCCTTATACACCGCTACCATCTCCGGCGGAAACCCGTTCATTACCGCCTCCGTCATGTTCGCTGACATCGACGCAGCCTGTTGCACGAACCCATTCATCGGCGGCGGCGAAACCGAAGTGTCGTTCGAGCCGAACACCTGCTGTAGAATCGCATCGAAGGAGTGGCCCGGATCCGGATCCACAAATTGAGCTCTGTCTTTGAAATAAACCCTAGCCCCGTTCGGGTCCGACGTCGAAGTAGGATTCCACTCCGATCCGTCCACTCCGTTGATCTCAGGGTTGATCCGCTTCATCCAGCCAAGCATGTGATCAAACGACCGGTTCTCCATCACAACAATCACCACGGTCTTTATCGGACCACCGGCAGCCGCCTTCGGGGCTCCACCGGAGAGTAGAAGTAGCAATGCGTAACAGAGCACATAAGATTGCTGCAAATTCGTCCGTCGGACATGGAGAATCCTCTCCATTATGTGCGTTGGTTTCTTTTGGGTAGAGCTCACTTCGTCTTATAAGCGGAGCAGTGGGGACGAGGTTACCCCGTGAAGGCGGGTGGAGCCTGCAGTACTCAGCTGGCCTGTACAGCTTTTATAAGGGCATGTGAACTGCTGCATAAATTATTGTGCACTCAGATTTGTTTTTTTTAACGTAGGCCTGCTACGGTTCATCTAAACTTCTTTCTCGAAAACTTTGAGCCGTTTTGACAATTTTACCCCTGTTTTTTTTTACTTTTCTATTTTTATCTCATTTTATTTATAATTCTAAAATATTTGATATATGAAAACTATTTTTTTTTGCTTTAATTAAATATTAAATTAATCAATTGTTACAATGATAGCGGCGACCGCTTGTGGAGTAACGTTGGGGTCTATTATGACGGTGAAAGCAGCTCGTGTTGATGAGCAGATGAGGTGTGCGGGGGGCCATTGAAGTGGCATATGCAATTCTTCTTACAAAATATTTAAAATAAAAATTTGTTTCAAATATATTCCATTATTCATGATGTAATGTCGCCACTTGTGCTGTATCATGAAAGTTACTTCGGAATTATTGAAGTGAAACGGTAGAAATTATTTCAAGATCATTTCGGAGTTATTGAAGAAAAATTTATATATTTCACTTTAATAACCAATAAATAACTTTGAAATAACATCCTCGGTTCTATTCAATAATCTTGAAATAAGATTGTGAAGGTTATTTTGGGGTTATTAAACTGAAATATAATGAGTTTATCTTTAATAACCCTGAATAACCCAGAAATAACCATGAAATAACTTCTATGGTGTTATTTCGGTGAGGTTATTTCATGGTTAATAAATTGGAAAAATAGAGACTATTTCAGGGTTATTTCGATGTTATTTTGGGATTATTGCGGAGTCTATGGGTTTACTTTAATATTTTTTAGGTGAGTCTGATATAACACATATGACGGTATATTATTCGAACTTGAGTCTGATATAACACATATGACGGTATATTATTCGAACTTTGTAAAGTTATGCCCAGATTCAGAAAGAAAAATTTTCCATTATTCATAAGTATTCTAAGTACTTCTTAAAAGAATTTTAATATTTAAAAAAAAAAGTGAAAAATAAACTAAAGACGTTATTTAAAAAAAAAAAATAAAAGATTACGAACAAATCTTTAGTTTTTTTTTTTTGGAGATTTTTTTGTGAATTTAATGCATATCAAAATTAGCGCTAGCTACATTAATAAATTTTAGTATGCGTCGTTTGATAATAATTTGCTGTTGTTACGAATCAATCCTTGCACTGAGAGATTTTAAGATGAAAAAAAATTTCGTAACTTGCCCCAAGGCGTGCTCCCCATTGCTTTATTGGAGTGTGTATTTTCTGTCCGGACTCCTGACGTAGCTCTACGTGCCACGGAGGTTATTTCTGAATTATTTTTAGGTTATTTATGGATTATTTCAATAATCCCGAAATAACCCAGAAATAACCAAAAAATAAAGATCGCTGTTATTTATGGGTTATTTTCGAATTATTGAAAATAAGTTAAAAATAATCGAAAAATAACTCAGAGATAATCTTCACGGCACGTGAAATTACTTCAGGAGTCCGCACAGAAAAAGAAGATGATATGGTCACATTGTAGAGGCAATATACCCCCCATACTTACGAGCAGCATTACTTTTTATTTAATTTCTGTCACTCGTGCACTAAAGTCAAAAGCACCCCAAGAGCTATAAATAAGAGATAAGATATTTTAACAGGGAAATTTACATGCATACCACTTAATTCTAACCTAAACTTTTACTTTTTACACCTTCTTGTCCATGCACAAATTCATATATCTCACTTTTAAAAACTAAAATAGTAGCATGGTTGATGTTATACGAAAGATTTGGGTGATATTTAAAGTTAGATATGCAAATACATGGGAATTGGGTGGTATTTATGTAAATGCCCATAAATAAAATTGTTAATTTAATTAAGAATTTTGTAGAAACATCACAATAACAAATTTATATTTGAAAATTTTTACATACATAACAAATGAGACATTACTATTTATACCGAGCACTTTATTTCATCCATTTTTCAAATTCTCAATCAAATCTCAAAATTCGTCAAAAAACCTCAGCCCATCTTTTTCCATTTTATTAAATTCTCAATGATTTGATCGTGGTACACTTAAATGCGGTTCGGTAGTTCAAAAAATCATGGATGCTAGATTTGTTAAAAGCAAATGTTTTGGGTGTTATATCTGTAATTATCCCACTAATTTAAGGTTAGATGTTTGTCTAGTTTTGATACATCACTAAGAAATCATCTTAATCGAGCACGAAAACCTTGTGCATCTTGCGATTGGAAAGTTCTAGAATCAAAATAAGGCTTATATACACTCCAATTGTGATTAATTTACAATTAAAAAAATGGCTCGGTCAAACGAACCAAACAATACCAAAATTAATATGATTGTAGTCCTAATGTACCCAAATCAATCACCTAACACATAATAGGAAACTTAGGGGTGTGTGTGTGTGTGCGTGCGCGTGTATCTTTGCGTGTGAAAGATGTCAAATATTTATGAAAGATGTGTCAATCCCAAAATCTATAAACTCTCACTCTCCACATTTGACGGGAGCTAGAACAAAAGAAGAAGACTCATTGAAGCTCGAACGCCTTAAGGATTCCTGACATTTAACAATTCACCATTATTCAACCACCAACCACTAAACAGTCATAGCTTGTTTATTACCACCATCGGTCTTCATCATTGTCTACCCACGATTTCCACTATCCACCATGGCCATCATCATTGTTGAGTAACAAACATCACTAGATCTATCATGCCATTGCACATCCACCAACACACTACCGCTTCTAATGGAAAACCATAGCCATTGACACTGATAGATAACCATCGAGCTGGTTCCATCACCTAGCTTGTGCCAACATCGAGCCACTAAAGCCACCAAATTCCCATCACAATCTAACATTTCCAGACATATTGTCTTTAGACTATCATTGGATGATTATTACTACTTCATCTAATTACTATTGCCACAACTGTTACTAGACTACTATTATTGTCGATTTTTTACTGTCATCATCAAACCTCCCTTTCCTTTATTAAATATCAATCGTTGTATCACTGGTCGATTATCATAATTAAAACTCCAATGTTTGGCCACTATCATTGAGTTATCTCTATCTGACCATCATTATTTGGCCACTACTACTAGTCAATCATTATCGAAATGCCCGCAATGCATTCAATAATACTCCATCTAACCAAATCAACTTATAAAGGAAGTTATAAAGAAATTTGAAATAATTACATTGCAACCAAAACAACTAGAAAAATATGAAAGCAAGGTATAGAAAGATATTAAATCATTTCTTTGCAACAAATTGACTTAAAATGACTTGGAAGCAAGGTATAGAGAAATATGAAATCAATTATTTGCTTGCACTTGTAGGTATTCCGTCCTTCAATTTATTCTATTAATCTTACCAGAAGAAAACTCATATACATATTTATCTTGGAAAGAAACACACCATTTGAAAAAAAACCCAAACCTTGATTCTACAAATACATTCAAATAAATATCTTGGGCACACAGATATGAGAGCTTGAGAGGTTATACCATCGCATTGGTTGCGGACGTCATCGTCACTTGCTATGAGCTGTCGATGTCCAATCTACACGCCGATGTACCTCGCAAGGAATCACAGAAAGTTTGTATGAGAATTTAATTCAAAGTAGGATCAACAAAAGTGCATGCAACGTTTAAAGAAGATTAAAATGATAGGTTTAACAAACATACAAATTTAAGTGTTAGATATGCATACACATTGGATATTATAAAATATACAGCTTAATACATGTAGATTTAAATGTTTAGATGTAAATACTTAGGAATTAAAAGATTTGTAATTTCACATTTAAATTAAAATTTTAAACATGTCTATGTATTTACATCTCTAACACTTAAAACTTCAATTTTTACATATATATAACTTCATGCATGAAAATGTATGGTTCACTTTTTAAAAGTTAAAAATGGTGATATTTTTCTATGCGATGTGAGAATTTTGGATTGTATAAATGTAAAGAACAAATTTTATAAATATAAAGGAATTGTGTTGTATGCATGTAAATGCCCCTGTAATTAATTTAGAATCTATGCTAAATCATTTTTAATTTATGGGGAAAATTGGAATCATCTCTCTTTACCTTCAACAGACTTTCTATTAGAAACACTTTTTATAACATAAAAACGTGAAAAAAAAATCACTCGATGAGAACATAAGCAATGTGTAAAAGAAGGTTGGACTGGTCAAGACAGGACGGCTAGAAAACAGATTTCACTTCTGATTTATATAAACAATTTAATAACAATACAATACAATACCTGGAAGAAGACGCCTAAACTTCAATTTTCTTTGGCACAACAAGAGCACAATAAGGGGGAGAGATGGCTAGGGGGTGAAGAAGAAGAAGACACCTGAATTTCAAATTTCTTCAACACAACAAAACACGACAAGGAACAACGAGCACGGTAAAGAAAAAAAAGAGGTAATCTAAAGTCAGGGCATTAGCGAATCAGAATGTCTCTAGGGTATCGATCCAATGGGGAGGGCTTTGGTCGAATATGGTGTTAGGGTTTTGGGGTTCTCTCTTTTTTTATATTATTGTTATAATTATTTTGATTTTTAAGAGCTTAAATTCGTGCATCATTGCTCGTGCACGACAACATAGCAAAATGAGTGTTCTCCCTAGGTAAAATCGACGTTATGGACACGCTCGTGCAGTCCGTCTTGTCATCTGGGGTCATCCGGGCAAGTTCGTCGATGATCGAGTTAAATTAATTTTGACTTATGCACATCACAACAAATGAAGTTATTTAGTCCAACCATAGGGGCTTCTTCGTAAGATCAGTGAAATAACTTCTGTCAGGAAATAAACTAACCACTATGTGCTTAGCCTTCAAGTTAAACTCAGATGTATCCCTTAAAAGATATTCATCACATTCATGAGCAAGCTGGAGTATCTACCATATTCATTTATGATGAGTGGGATACTA